TCACTCTGTCCCCTGAAAAGCCTGTCTCACAGGGGCGAGGAGAGAGTTCAGAGTGTGGGGATTCACTTCCCCCCAATGGAACTTCTGGTTTCTATGAGATAGGGTACAGTGAGGAAGACTGGACATCAAACCCCACATAGACAAAACTCCTGAGCTCCAAGGTTCCTGAGACACAGAGCCACAAGAGGACAAGTGCTGATGAGGAAGGAACCCTGGCAGCACCACCCCATCTTCTGGGGACCTCCAAGGCTTGATCACAGACTGGGTCTGCTGCTCCTCCCCCAAGTTTTTCCCCAGAACCCTTGTCTTCCCTGTGGCCTCTTACCTGGGACAGACACGGGGCCTATACCCATGAGAGATGAGGCAGAAGGCAGGACAGTCACAGGTATTTAACAAGTTCGATTAAGCACCTACTATGTCCAGATACTGTGCTAGGCCCTAGAGCAAACCAGATGAGAACCCTAGCACCTTGGAGCCTAGATTCCAGGGGCATCTATTTTATTCCTCCCAGAGCCCCATATTCCCACAGGGCCACTGAGGCTCACAGAAGCCACATCACAGGCATCTAAAGGAAATGGCCAAGCCACGATGGGAACAGGCTCCCTGCTCCCAGCATAGCAAGCTATGCCCAGACCAAACTCAGGGCTCAAAGTTGGTGACACTGTTGGGGAACAGAGGGAGCCTATTAGATCAGCTCCTGAGGATGCTCAGCCTTGTTCTTTTCCTAGCTGTGTACTAACCCATAACTCAGACATAGCAGAATTAGTCACATCTTGATTGGGTAACCACACACCCTACTTTGCATGGGTCATCCTAGCAATGCTGCTGACCACCCAGGAAGTAGGAGCTGGGATTATTACCATTCCAGGGTATTGGAGGGCAATCAATCCTCCGACTGCCTAGGAAGGGGGATGGCAAGGGCTAAAGAGAAAAAAGATGATAGAGACTTTCGTAATTTCAAAGTATATGGGGGGCCAGGAGGTCAGTGTCTCAGAGCAGCAAAGACAAAAACTCTCTGAGCTTGCCATCATTTATTGGGGACATACAATAATTGGTGGGAGCATCAGGTGACTTAGCGGGTGGTAGTAATCCTATGTCAATGTGGATCTTATGCTGATGATTTTAGGTCACGAGGTTCTTACATTGAGGAGGACTATAAGGAGAGCATTCTTACAATAGTGGGTGGGAGGAGTTAAGTTGATAAGGAATTTTTTGTTTCACCCCAGGTGAAATCTTTCTCTTACTACTCAGTTCTCAAGGAACCAGGATGTGTTTAGCTGATGTAATCTTGCTCTTGAGTATCACAGCATCATGGGACCATTGAGGTCTCAGCTGTGACCAGAGGCAAAAATGGAGCTATGCTTTGGCATGTCATTTCCGGCCTGTAGGTAAGACTAGGTCTGATCGTAATTTAATTGTGAAGTTATTTCTCCCCAAAATTATGTGGAAATGCTCCCGAAATCAGGGGAGAAGTCCTGTCACGTAGAAGTATTGCCCAACGCCACCTAGCTGGTAAGTTGAAAGCTGCCATACAAGCGCATGCCCATTGATTCAAACCACTACTCTCTGCTTTAGCTTTTACCTGCAGTTGACAACTGCCTTCACCAATCACAGAAAAGATATGCAGAGCAGATCGTGGTTACTGCTCTCCCTTTTAGTCTTTAAATACCAGCCATACTCCCATCTACCACAGGGCTTTTGTACTTGCCTTTTCCTCTGTATTTAATCTTCTCACTCCTGACCTTCGCACAGCTGGCTGTGTCTCATCCTCTCGGCTCAGGTGACCCTAGCTCTTGAGGCTTCCCTTGCCACCTAGTTTCGACTTGGCTCCCACCCCACTCATTATCTTGTGGCCCACTTATTACCTGGTTTATGTTCTTCTCCGCACTTGTCACTATCGCAATCTAATTAATTCATTTAGTAGAAGGGGTCTGGAATCAGAAACACTTGCCCATTTTGTTCATTCTTGACTCGCTGTGTCTAGTATAGAGCCTACAAAAATGAAATTCAAGAGCACTAGTTTGAGCAAACATATTTCACGCTGTAATGTAATGTATTGGCATATAGGACATTTTCTAGAATCTGGTGCTGTTGGGCTTTTTTTTTTTTTTTTTTTTACTGAGGTATAATCCACACATGGTAAAATTCAGTCTATTCATGTACAGTTCTGAGTTGAGTCATGTAACCACCACAAACATGATATAGGACATTGATAACCATTCCACAAACTTCTTCTCTGTCCCCTATGGTCAGTCCCCACCCCTAGCCTGCAGTTCCTGTCAATCACTGGGGATGATGGGGTAAGTGAGCAAACTCTAATTCACAATGGCAATCACAGTGGGCAGAACTTCTAGTGAGTTGAATGTGGCAGGTAAGAAAAAGAGAAGTCAAGGATTAGTTTGGAACGTTGGAACTGAAGGGAGCCTTGGACTGAGATGGGAAAGTGGCTGAGAGCTTCAGCAACCAGGGGGTAGGAGTGGAGAGACCAGAGGTCTGTGCTGGATGCTCTATGCTTCAGATGTTTGTTGCACAGAGAGGAAAGGTGGTGGGTCTTTCAGGTGGGCCATGAAGATGGCACTATTACCACAGAGGGGTCAGAGGAGCAGCTTCCACCCTTGGGCAGGGCCCTCATGCATTGGGTCCTTGGGTCCTCTGGCATCTAGTACCAGGTAAAGCTCATTGATCCTTCTCAAAAACACATAAAACAAAGGCACAAGAAAGCATAGTAATATTGCAGTTGAAATCTAAATATAAAAAAGCAGCCTATGATAAAGTTGTAGCATTATCCAACAGTAGCTTTGATACTGACCACAATTCCAAAGTTATATGAGAAAAAAACCCATATTTGAAGACACAGTGAACCACCGTATGAAAATATTTGTGATTTCTATTGGCCGTAAAGTCACAGGGCCTGTGGGACAGCTCTGGGTTGCGGTCTAAGCTCATAATTGAATAAAATGTTAATTTAAAATTATACATTAGTGGACAAAAAGGTGAAATTTTTCTCCCTCAAGTTCATGGAGCCACTGAATGCTCTCCACAGACCCTGTGATCCTATGTTGAGGATCCTGGCCTGGGGAGAGAAGGTAGAGAAAGAAGAAGACCCAGGACTGGGCCACCAAAGCCCCCAGCATGTCGGAGCCTGATAGAGCAGAGGGGTGGCCAGGGACAGGAGGAATGCAGGACAGAGGCCTCTGGGAGTGCTTCCACTGGCCACACTGCTGGCAGGCCCAGCAGCACAGGATGAGAAGTGTCCCTTGAGTGTGGTAACAAGCAGAGCCTTGACAAGGTGAATGGAAGAGTGAAGGGGATTCCTGGGGCTGGAGAGACACAAAGGGAGGTAAACAGAAGGATTCAACATTATAGGTCACTTTTTGAATTTTTGTATGTGTGAAATACACCATTAGTATATGTTAAATTTGTAGGGAGTAGGGTTGGTGTGGAGGTGAGAGAATGGAGTTTGGTGCTGCAGGAAGCAGGGAAACTGGAGAGACAGCTGGCGGGGCTGTGGGTCATTTTCAGGTGGGAGCTGGGAGAGCGCATCTGTGCATTGGGAGGGACTGGTAGGGCATGAGGAAGGAGCTGGGATCTGAAGGCCAAAGGCCTGGAGAAGCTCTGGTCCCTGAAGTCTCTATGCCCAAGGGTCTCACACTG